TAAAGTGCAGTTATTCAAAAGCCTATATGCCCCCAGTGCAGCCCTTGCTCCTTAATAACACCTGGTTTAGGCAGATCAGCGGGAGGGTTTGTCAGTACATGACAAGAATGGACACTAATCCCAAGCAATACCCACTGGTCCTGTATGTCTCTTGAGTGGGATAATTGATTCCCACACCCTTCTTAAAACACACTCCCCTCCTCTTCTTAGACCCGGCAACCAAAAAACAAAGCTTGTTTCATTCTGGTGTCGAGGGAACACTTTTTGACCTGTGCTTCTATGAGGGTTGAACTGCGGGCTGTCACAAGTGTTTTAGGTGGTAGCAGAAATTTGTTTGGTAATGGACAATAATACCATTTTTAGCATTTTTGATTCTCTCTCAGAAGCTGCCATGCATACATAAATTAGCAACACAAATTTTATATGTGATTCTTAGAGATCATCTGAAAACAGACATCAGATATCTATGGCAAAGTCACCTTTAGGTAACCGTGTAGAAAAGTCAACTCTGTTTCTGCTCCAAGTGTGACTACAGAGTTAGGCCACAGAATTACATTCCTCTGCAATTACATTGAGGTTAGTCTGTGCACTGCTGTTAGAAATCGGCGCGCACTGCTGCCGAAAAGTGTTTGGTGAACTCATTAAATGGCCAGACAAGGAAGTGATGAACAAAACCCCTCTCTTTATTAAGAGCACTAACGAACAAAAAAACCAGGACAAGAAAAAAAAAAAAAAAACACACACTTATGGGTTGGTCTAACAGTCCGAGATCAGAGCCAGCAAACACATACAGCAAAGGTAATCCAAAATAGTAGTCCGAAGGGAAGTCGATAATCATACACCGTGGCAGTCCGTAACAAGAAGGCAAGGCAGAATAGAATAGTCCAATGTAACAATCCGGGTCAAAACACAAAGTGCCAAAACCGAAGAAATGCTGGAGAGTCAGAGCCAGAGTCTAGAACAATCTGGCAGTGTCTTTGTGGGAGGACGCTGCCTAAATAGAGGTGCAAACAATAACGAAACAGGTGAAACCAATGTGAGTGATGATGAACGTAAAAAGACCGAAACTAAGGTGAAACAAAATCAGGAAGTAACGTCAAAATAAAAGCGGGACAGGAAGCAGCGGAACCGAATCATGACACACTGCCTATTCAAATTAGATGGAATGTGTTGTAAGATGTTAATGGAGCTTGAGGTATTTTCATGAAAGAAGTCTGAGATG